CTAGTTAGGTTGATTATAATGTGTTTAAATGGAACGTATAGTAAAGTCCGTGTAGGTAAACATTTGTCTGATAATTTGTCCATGTAGGTTAAACGTTTGTCTGATAATTTTCTTATCCAGAATGGTCTGAAACAAGGAGATGCTTTATCGCCACTCCTTTTCAACTTTGCCTTAGAATATGCAATTAGGAAGGTCCAGGGAAACGAGGTGGGACTGAAATTAAACGGGACACATCAGCTGTTGGCCTATGCCGATGATGTGAATCTACTGGGTGATACTGTAGATACCATAAAGAGAAACACACAAACTTTAACTGACGCAGGTAAAGAGGTTGGTCTAGAAGTAAACACAGAGGAAACTAAGTATATGCTGCTGTCTCGTCTCCAAAATACAGGGCAAAATCACGATATAAAGATAGGAAACAGATGTTTTGAAAATGTGGCACAATTCAGATATTTGGGAACAATGATAACAGTACGAAACCTGATTCAGGAAGAAATTAAGGGGAGATTGAACTCGGGTAATGCTTGCTACCATTCAGTCCAGAATCTTTTGTATTCTCGTCTGCTATCCAAAAACATAAAAATTAGAATATACAAAACTATAATTTTGCCTGTGGTTCTGTATTGGTCTCTGACATTAAGGGAGGAACATAGACTGAGAGTGTTTGAGAACAGGGTGTTGAGGAGAATATTTGGACCGAAGAGAAATGAAGTGACAAAAGGTTGCAGAAAACTGCATAATGAGGAGCTTCATAACTTGTACTCTTCTCCAAGTATAATTAGAATGATCAAGTCAAGGAGGATGAGGTGGGCAGGTCATGTAGCACGAATGGGGGAGACGAGGAATGCGTATAGGATACTGGTAGGAAAGCCAGAACGAAGGAGACCACTGGGAAGAACATGACTTAGGTGGGTGGACAATATTAAAATGGATCTTAGAGATATAGGATTGGATGGTATTGATTGGGCTGATCTGGCTCAGGATAGGGACCAGTGGGGGGCTCTTGTGAACACGGCGCTGAACTTTCGGGTTCCATAAAATGCTCGGAAATTCTTGAGAAGCTGCAGAATTTGGCGGCTCCTCCAGAATGGCTCCGATCCATAAGTAAGTAAGGTCAACCAATGCAATGACGCTGCTACAAATACTGAAGACTGAGCATCGCAGTGTACCGATTTACACTCCTGCTTCCTATTCAGGAGAACGTGGATTCAAATCTCGGTCCGGAGTCCGACAGTCTTGAATAGTGTTACCCTTCTGTTCAGGCCATCCAGGTAAATGGGGGCTCGCCGTAGCGTAGTTGGTTGAGGCACTATGCTACAAGCCGGAAGGTCGCGTGTTCGAGTCCTGTTGAGATGGATTTTTTTTCAATTGACCTAATCCTTTTAAAAGCACCATGTCCCTGGGGTCGACCCAGCCTCTGAGAGAAATGAGCACCAGGAATCTTCCTGGGGGTAAATGGGCGGCCGGTGCCTAAGGCTGACAACCTTACCGCCATCTGTGAGCCGGCTGTCTAGAAAAAATGTTGGAGCCTCGACGTTTCACAACCCTATCGCCCTTCACGGCTTGTTACAGGGATAGCTTTACCTTGAAGCTTTACCATGCATATAAATATTATGATTGTGACCAAGATTTTAATTAATTTCATTTATCAATTGCTGTACAGCCCTTTGGTGGCCTATGGCCTCTTCTACAGTTTCGCAATTTTTGGTAATTATGATCAGGACAGGGAAAATACTTTCTACATTGTTCTCGACTCACCATTCTCATTATCTTTCAGTTCAACTAACAGGCCAGTGAACTGAGTGAGTTCTGTGTTTCTCACGGCTGTGACGAAGAATTTCTGGGATGTACCGCCGTGTAATCTGGGTAAACAAGGATTAATATTTCAAGTCGCTAAACGAAACTTATTCACCGCATATTTATTCACCATTTCCATGTCACACATTGACAATTTCATACTACTATTACGTATCTCAGCGTAACAAAATACTCCGACTTGGAGTACATAAACAAAAACAAATAAACTCTTTGGCTTGAGTCCGCAAGCGAACTATACCGACCGAGAGATCGCCGCTTGTCGGCGAAGTTAGTGACAATTTTAGCGGATGGATTGTGTCACGTGGTCATGGCAAAGAATCCCCACGACCGTTAATTTCGGTTTTCTAGACCGGATGCGCTACTTTTTCCATTCAAGTAGCTTCTCAATTATGCTCACGATGCTGAGTGAACCCCGTTCCAGACCCCACTCTTTCTCAGAAAATCTGGTAGCGCCGGGAATTGAACCCGAACCTCTGGATCTGTAGGCAGGAACTCTGACCACTAGACCATAGAGCCGGTACATATATTCTCTAACTTTATTCGAGTTTTGTAAGCTACATTGGTTTTCATGATCAATTATTGCAGATGAAATTCTCTGAAATGAACAGTCCAAATTACTCTTCATATCTTTAATACGTAATTTGACTCTAAATCTTGTGCAGGTTAGCTCTCTGAAACTACTTGTGTTCCTTATACAGTTTGATTGTCACGTCTTTTTTTTTTTTGTTTGTGTGACTTAATATTTATGGTTATATCTTGAATTAATGTTATACGGACGAAAGTAAGTGTAGTTACAGCTAAGTATCAAATGTTAGACGCTCTGAGTTGGCGGGTGTAAACAAAAGGAGTCCCCGTTATTGCATCTGGTTGGTTCTCACAGTTCTTTAAGTAGGACTATTTATAGTCTTGCAGCATATTTATCAAGTCCAGTACATTGATAAAGTTCACCAGACAGCAAGGAACTGTATTTCGATTTTGTGATTAGAAGAAGTGAAAAGCAGAGTGATTTAGGGCGATAATTGTGTGAATCAGTGGAAAGTTTATGAATAGGTGAACAGAGTCATTGAAGATCAGACGAGATTTTCGAGATATTCTGGGCGATCGTGGCTATGACGTGTGTTCAGGTTAAGGAACAGATCGATTAGAGTATCTGGGAAACCGAAGAATCAGCACTGATTGAAGTGGTATTAAGTGAACACTCTTTGTAGAAGAACGACACAGTAGTCATCCTATTCTGTTGGAAACAGGAACCTTTTAGACCGTTGAGAGAGAAATGTTGAAACGGGTGGTTATTAGGTCGGAGAAGAAGACACGAATCGCTTCCTTACTTACCTACACTTCTGCTCTACAGTCCTGTGAGAACCTTTGCTTCCAAATTCTCTGTTATTTTTCTTTTTCCTCCAGGTTTTCACTTTCAGATCTCGTAAATCATTCTCTACATTTTCGAACTAACTCAGTCTTTGATTTAATATTTTTAATGCTAGTGGGGTTGAACTAAGCCCCTTGTACTGCGGCCACTTCTGTACTATTATACCAGCCCCAGATGATAGGTGAGGGTGGTTGTGGAGCAATTGGTGGAATGAAGATTGGCAGGGGAAACAGAAGTGCTCGGATAAAACCTGGTCCAGTTCCACTTTGTCCACCACATATCCCACTTGACCAGACCCCGGGATCGAACCCGGGCCGCCGCAGTGGGAAGCCAGCGACTAACCGCTTGAGCTATGGCGCGGCCATCTTCGAACTAACTCAGTCTTTGATTTAACAATATTTCTTCATCAATATGAAAAAATACTCTGTTACGTTTTACTTAGCTTAGGGTACTCACTTTTTCAGTGAAATATTTATCACAATTTTAAATTAAAATATACAAACATATATTTGCAATAAGAAACAATTTTTGTTTGCAATGTGTTACCGATGTATGTTCAATGTGCCGATAAAAATATTTCGGCAAGACATTACGATAGTCTGATGTCTATAATTCAGTAGTTTTTCTTTACGTGTCCCCTTGGCTCTTCCCTATGGACACTGAGAGAGTTCTAGGCTCTTTACGCTCAGTGTAATGTAGAATTTGTATAACTTACATTTTGACAGCGCAACTGCGTAGACATACAATAATAACTTTTCTTTGAAACCCCATAAAAATTTCCGGAAAAAGCTCAAGCGGTCAAAAGGACACGACTTTTCGTTTATGTGCTCTGTGCAAAGAAAGTAAAGGTAAATGTATGTTAAAGTTGTCTCTGCGCTTATCTCATTATGCACTGCGCCATGAAGACGTATGGGGGGGGTGGATGCGTGGATCCACTTTCCTTGACCTCGGCACTAGTTAGAGGTGAGCGGTCAGCTTCACGCCCCGGCCACTTTACCACTGGGGAAAGAACCCTCGGTACCCGTTTGAAAGGAGGATGTGTGTGACCCAGAGACATTCTGGACGGCATAGAAAAGAGAATATATTTGACCTTATCGGGACTTGAACTCTTAACCCTCGGTCGTCCAGCCCCTAGCCGGTGATTATACCGACTGCGCTATCCCGGTTCCGTGTAAAGAAAGTATAAACTGAAATGAACTACAATATATTTCATTTAATATTTTACTGTATTATAAATAAATATATCAATAAATACTCAGGCCTAGAATTTGACACCGTGTAGACTGGAATAATTTTACCGATGTTACCTCTTCCAGACTGAATATGGAGCAGCACCTTCCTCTGAAACGTCACTAAACTTCTATCACAATATTTGAAATTTCATTCGTCACGGAAGCATTCTTTGCAGTCACCGTAACAGGAATCCGAAATATCAAATTAAATAAATGTTTATAGTTCTTTACTTTTTAACAGACCAGAAGGAAACATATATTGCATTATGTGTACAATTAGGCCGTGCCATAGCTCAAGCGGTTAGTCACTGGCTTCCCATCGCGGCGGCTCGGGTTCGATCCCGGGTCTGGTCAAGTAGGATTTGTGGTGGACAAAGTGGCGCTGGGGCAGGTTTTCTCCCAGTACTTCGGTTTCCCTTGCCAATCTTCATTCCACCAATTGCTCCACAATCAGCCTCACCTATCATCTGGGGCCGGTACAATAGGCCAGAAGTGGCCGCAGTACAAGGGACTTAGTCCCACCCCACTAGCAATAAAAAATGTACAATTAAATAAATGTTTATTCATTTATTTCACAGACCGGAAGGACGATGTATACATCGATACCGAGAAGGAAACCGTGAAACTACCAGGAGAGAATGAAGAGGGAATCTTCGAAGTGCTTGGGGATCTCGTTAGTGACGGATTGTCGAAGTTTTTCCAGGACGATAAGAAAGGTGAAGAAGAAGACGACGACGACGATGATGATGATGATGAGGAGGAGGAGGAGGATGAGGAGGATGATGATGATGATGAGGAGGAAGATACAGATGAAATCCAACCAGCAGAAAACGGTGATAGCAACAAACTTAGTCATGAAAATAATAGGACACTAGCTGTAGCTGGGAATATACAAAGAAGCATGGAAACAGGTAACTTAGCAACATGATGCATGCTTGTATAAAGCTTCTCTTTCAATTCCAACAATTGTAACAACAGCGAAATTCAGAAAGGACGTGAGAGAGAGATTCCGTATTATCACGTATTTACGGATGGGTGACTCTAGATATAGTATGGGTCGGTGAATTGGACTTACTGACCATTTGTTTACACCACTCGGAACTATACTTCACAGCACAATGTTACACACACTAGTGCCCCCAGTCTACTACAGTTTCCACTAGCCGTTTCCTGGAAAACAGATCTAACACAATGTAGATTCTTCAGCTTCCGTGATCACGCCGTTACCCGCTACTTAACACTGAACAACTGAACTCATGGCTCCAGCTTCTCAGCCTCCCTTACAGAGCCCAACTCTCGACTAACTGTTCGCTTGGAACCCCGGAACTCGACTGCTGGTTCTCAACTGAACTCTTCTTTATAACAAATTTGCACGGACAGAATAGAAAGCACCATTTCCAACAATATCCCTATTGTTGTAGGCGTTTTCACCGATTGATTAGAAACGGGTTGCATAACCACGTCGTTCTATTGTTGCGGACGTTACCTAGCAAATGCCGCTGTTTACAGATTCACGGTTTAGCGACGGGTCTATACGCCGCAATATTAATAACCGTGATGACTGTTTCCTCTAAAGTGTTAATGCAATCTCTAGGGAGCCAGGCGAAGCAAATTGCTTAAAGCCAACGTAGCATCTATCCCATTAGGGCCTAGAAACACACACGCCCTGAGTTAGCGTATTTGATAAAATCTATGTCTCTACCTCTCAGTGAATGTACTTTGAAAATTAAACGTCACTTGGAGTTTCAGCTTAAACAGACTTTAAAATTTACCTCATTAAAAACTAATTAAACACGAAAACTCTTCTTATGAAAGAGCGAACAAACTGTAAAATGTGGACCCTCCCAAACATTTTCCGGTTAAGAGCACACAAACTGTAAATTGTGGTCCCTTCCAAACAACAGATGGATAAGAGCACAAAAATTGTAATTAGCGGTCGCCCGAAAACAGTTACCGAGTATGAGCACACAAATTGTAAATACGTGTGTGCGTAATAGTTGCTGGGAAAGCCACTAGCTGCCCCAGACGTAGGGGGGGGGGGTAACCTTTAGGGAAGCAGTATGGTGTTGTACAGACTGGATTAATCTGGCTCGGGACAGGAACATTATTGGACTCTAGTGTTCACGGTAATGAACTTTCGGGTTCCATAAAAAAACTGGGAAATTCCTGAGTAGACGAGCAACTGATGGATTTTCAAGGACTCAGCTGCATAGAGTTAGCTAGTTAGTGGTCATTCCCAGACAGTAGACTGACAAGAGCACACAAATTGTAAATAATGATAGCTAACAAACAGTACAAACAATACAAGGGAATACTCACCAATCATGGAGCTGAGCCCTTCTTGAGAACCTGCCACTTGTGCAGCTACTCAAGAGATTCCTAGAATTTTACTGAAGCCGAAGGTTCATTACAGTGTTCACAAGAGCCCTCCACTGGTCCCTATCCTGTTCCAGATCAATTCAATCCATACCATCCCATTCTCTCGCTCAAAGATCCATTTTAATATTATCTACCCACCTACGTCTTGGTCTTCTCACTGGTCTCCTTCCTTCTGGCTTTCCCACCAATATCCTATATGCACTCTTCTTCTCCCCCACTCGTGCTACATACCCTGACCATCTCATCCTCCTTAACTTGATCATTCTAATTATACTTGGAGAAGAGTACAAGTTATGAAGCTCCTCATTGTGCAGTTTTCTCCAACCTCCCGTCACTTCATAGATACAAGGACACAGACTGTAAATACGAGTAATGCTCGCTAGCAAACTACAGTTGGTTAAGAGGACATAAGTGTAAAGGTTATTCGCTTCCAAACAGTTCCTGAGCATGAGCACAAAAAATGTAAATAGTGGTAACTCCCAAACAGTATCCAGGTAAGCGCACTCAAATTGTAAATAGCGACCATACCTCAAATAGCAGCGGATACTAGTGCTAGTGACTTGTTCATCTGATGATTCTGATATCATGATTTCACACAGAACTTTTCTGAACGAACATATCTACTTTCATAATTCAATGGTAGGAACTCAAGTGAATGGTGATTCACAGATCCGTGTGGACTTGTTCATCTAAATTGCTGTGAACGCCCACTTACCCTTCACATCCCAATAAGAGCATGGGTAATACAGGCACAAAAGTGTTACACAGTAATATTCGCTACTGACAAATTGTTTCCGGTAATTAGTATTGCTAACATTCGGCTGTTTTAAAACGTACGCCTATAAAGTGACGAGAGGAGATGCTAAAATAGGAACACACAATAACATGTCTGCAATAATGCCAAATTGTTCCTAAGAGCTCTATCGATTGGGGCCAACTGAGTAGGCTTTTACATGAGGACGGAGAGGGAGCCCAGTCTCAGAAAAGTTGTTTTTAAATAAAAAAAAACGGATGATGAATAATGTCCAAAAAGTAAATAATTTTACTACATGTGTGTCGACCACACGTGTCACAAATTGTTCATCTCATGCCAACGAATGGAATATCATTAATTTCTGTTATATTTAAACATCGTATCCAGGAAATTAAATATATAAATTATCCGTTTTGCATGCAAAAAAAATTTATACTGAAAGCCGTTATACCTAGAAATTTTTGCTTCACTAGACGTACCTAAACCAAGATATGACAGAAGATATGTGAATAAGGACATGACTTAGATTTAACCTAACGCTCATTTTTACAGTAACGAACACATCGCTGATTCATACCTATTTTGGTTAAACGAGAAATATTTTATAAGCTAGGAATAATAGTGTGGGCACGCGGTAGCGTAGTTAGTTGCACTGTGCTACAAACCGGAAGGTCGCGGGTTCAAGTCCCGATGAGGACATTGGATTTTTTTCCGTTGACCTAATCCTACCGGCCTCACTATGGCCCTCGGGTCGACTCAGCTTCTAACATACATGAGTACCAGGAATATTCTTGGAATGTTCTTGGGGGTAAAGGGCGGCCGGCGCGTAGGGCTGACAACCTTGCCGCCATCTATGAGCCGACTCTCTAGAACATGTGGGAACCTCAACATCTCACAACCTATGGGCCTCCACGCCCTGTTACAGGAATACTTTTACTTTTACTTACTTACTTTGGGAATGGCCGCGACATAGCTCAAGCGGTTAGTCGCTGGCTTCCCACCGTGGCGGCCTGGGTTCGATCCCGGGGTCTGGTCAAGTGGGATTTATGGTGGACAAAGTGGCGCTGGGGCGGGTTTTCTCCGAGTACTTTGGTTTCCCCTGCCAATCTTCATTCCACTAAATTCTCCATCATAATCACCCGGGGCAGGCTACAATAGGCCAATCAGTGGCCGCCGTGCCGAGTGGACCCAGTTGGACTTAACTTTAGGAATAATAGTACCATTAGCTACAAACAGCCAATATACACGTAGTTGTACTATTGATAGTTCGACAGCAGTGTTGGTAGCGGCTGGGTATAATTATGTTGCTGTGTAGAACTGGAATACAAGGAACTAAACTGACAGCAATAAAATGCCTGCATAAAAACAGATCGAGATACTTCTATCAAACTAATAAGAACGAAGGATTTGTTGAACCTAAACAGAGATGAATTAAGATGGGTGATAGGACTATTTACAGGACACTGTCACCTTAAAGGACACCTCTTCAAACTGCGATTAATAGATGATCCCACTTGTGAAAGATGCCTAGAATAGGTTGAATCGGTCATATATATCCTGTGTGATTGTGAGGCCATAGCTTATTTAATATTTTATCACCTGGGCCAATACTTCTAGAAGCCAAGTGACTATTATGGCGCCCCCATAAATAGGGTTCTATATTTTACCCGAAGTGTAGGATTAGTAAAGAGTTAATCGAAGGGGAAGCACAATAGTTCAGTGATGGTCGCGGTGCAAAGGCCAAATTACTATGGCCCACCCTTATACATACATACATCAAATTAATAATGGTAGGCTTATACGGTAATTAAAATCGCCTCTTTAGTAAAACACTGAAGAAATATGTATTTATCATTCATCACCGTTGCATCGAAATAAGATTTGAATTGTAGCAACTGAGAAACTTGAAGGCAAAAGCAGTTTATGTATATAGCCTCTGAGGCATCTGAAGCATACAGAGTGATTCTTAATTATTGTCAGGGTTTACGTGGACCATAAACGGAAACCCCGACAATAATTTGGAATCACTCTATATGCCTATCATACTAGAATGTAAATGAGAAAGTCTCTACCCGGAAAAGTCCAGTAAAATGTTGAATTTACATTTGCTAAACCGACCTTAGTTTATTTAAATAGAATTTTCCTGTTGTGAAATTAAATCTAACAAACAAGAACGAAGGGAGAATTTGGTAAGTTGTGAACAACGGAGCTAACGGAAAGTGTGGCCCAATATTGGCTCCTAACATATGACAAATATATCACTGCACATCGCTGCGAGAGTATGGTTAGTTCAAGTTGCAAGTAAGATAACTGGAAGCCCGTGCCATAGGTCAGACGGTTAGTGGCTGGCTTCCCACCACAGAGGCCCGGGTTCAATCCCACGTCGGGCAATGTGGGATTTGTGGAGGAGAAAGTGGCACTGGGACAGGTATTGTCCGAGTTGTTCCGTTTCTCCTGTCAATTCTCATTCCATCAAATGCTCCATACTCCCCTGTTATCCGGGGCTTGTACAATAGACCAATTAGTCTCACCCCACACCACGAATTTAAAGAAAATAACTGGGAAGCTAATCACAGCATATGCCCAGCGCTTTAAGAGTACCACATTTTCTCTTTCTTAGGTCGTGGAAAGAAGAAGAAAAAGAAGAAGATGATTAAAAAAGCTATTATTAAACTGATAATCTTGATTGTACTCTTAAAAATAAAATTTTTAAAATCTCTCTACGTGTTCGGCAAATTCCTGCAGTTTAAGTTGGTGCTTCTCATAACAATTAACACAATTATAAACGTTATACGGTTCATCATGGAATGGAAGAAGAAAAAGGAACCTGAAAATGTCGTGTACTCGTACGAACAGGCACATCATCAACATCACTATGACGAGCACCACCACGTCGATCCCATTCACCAGGACGAAGATAAAGGATGGCTGGGTGGACTATGGTCCAGAGCCGGCACTCACGACGGGGGCCGGTCTATCAGTCCGGCCGAATATGCGCATGATATAGCATATTCCGCGCAGAAACCATCACAGAATTACGCATATAGTGCGCAGAAAGCTTCTCAAGTTCCAGCACGCTATGCGCAGGCGTCGACACAAGGTCCAGCACGCTATGCGCAGGAATCAACACAAGATCCAGCACGCTATGCACAGAAATCAGTGCAAATTGAAGCAAACTATGAGAATAAACCTTCGCAACAAGTAGCATATTACTCCTACGTTCAAAATCCAAATTTCAATGCCCAAAGATCATTGTAACGGAATGACGTTATTACATTCGAAAATATGTTACTTTTTGAAACTAAAATTATCATATATTATATTAGGCCTCTCTGTGCCATAATAAACAACTGTAGTCCTAGATTGAGGCTCACTGTTTGCAGAGACACTTTAATATATTTCGCAAAGAAAGGGGCTGCAGTGACTTATATTCGGCTCACTTCCTAGGCAATCCAGCAATAAGTTATGGCCGAAAATATCTCTGCACTTACAGCGCTCGTAAGCTTAAGAAGAACGAGCCATCCCCGGATAAGTTGTTGATAATGTTCCCTCACTACTTCACTTTCATCTGAGTGATGACAGGCCAGTCTTAAAAAAATGGTAACTGTGTTATCGTGTAGATATTTATACAATTTTAATTAATCATTATATTGCCATAAATTTTTCAAAACAAAAGTACAAACTTATATTTCACATATCATTAATTCTTACGCCCTTAATTTTATTTCCTAATTACTATTAGTATAATATTATAGCATGGGTGAAACTGTTAGGCCTTTGGTCTGTACATTTTCGAATTAAGACAAAGTAATGCAATTAAAAATTGCGTAATAAACTATTCTGTATTAAAGCTGCTTTATTGCTCCTGCATGTAGATTCCCTGATGAAGATTTAACTGTATAATTGAAGTTATTTATATATTAATATAATAAATATATTATTTATGTTTATATGACATACTTAAGCAACAACCTATGTGAAGCAAACTGATGCATCCTTAGAGTATGATGTTATAATACTATAATTAATCTGTAAATTATTTATATCACTGTATAATATTTTTTATTTATTGTAATGACAGATTTAAATTCCTAAACCGAACTTTTATGAACAACAGACAACGTTACCAGTCGTATTTAAAGTGTCTGGCACTTATATTTTACCTGTAAATAGTTATTAAATATAATTGATGCATATTACATACATTTATTCCATATGTATTCCTGTACATTTTAACCTTAATATCTATAACAAACTTGTTTGCTTTATTTTTATTTAACTAATAAATTCAACAATACTTCATACAGCTTTCGAACATTCCTGTGTAAATACAAATACAGTAAAACTTGGTTATAGCAACATCGGTTTCTGCGACACCTTGTCTATTGCGTCAATATTCAATGGTACGAACTAATTCCTCATAAAGCAACTGTTTTTATACCTTGCTTAGTACGACATGCACAAATGCATCAACCTCGTATGTAACGTCATTTTCATTCCTGAATTTCTCTGATATGGACATTGAACGTAATTTAGAAAGTGTGTATTGGGCAAGTAACAGGAAACAGATGAAGATAACTGATTACTGTACTCGTATCTAGGTACAGTAAGGCACAACAATTGATGTAATCTACTGTAATTTGGTGAGTAGGCCTACCTTTAATATACAGTATTAGTGCGGTGTGTATTGTCAGTGAAAAGCGCTGTAATATGTCTTTGATATTATACATTTGGGCAATTCCACGTTAATGTTACGTTAGTCTGTACTTAACTACGTATTTCACTAAAAAATGCAACATTTTAACTCGGTTTTTGGTAGATTTTTACGTGACTAACATAAGGCTACTGTGGAAGTGCCCATTTCGGTTACAACGACATTCGTTTATAACGACACTATTTTTAGGTCCCTTTGATGACGTTATAACCAAGTTCTACTGTATATATATATATATATTCCTTTGAACAAAGCAATATAAGATCCAGTTTATATTACTCGTATAGGGCTCTGCAGAAACACGGAGAGGGGAGAGGCAAAGAATAAAAATATCTGGCAAGGGAAACATTAGAGTTATATGCATGTCAACTTAGAATAGAGGCACATATGCATATGAATGAGATATGGCTTCTAACAGGCTAAAGATAAAATGCAACAGCGGTCAATATTACGTGGGTTACTTCAAAAGTCATGGAAACTAATTTTTGGGGGGCAAACACGTTACAGCGAAGAAAGTTCAAAATATACTTATGAAATAGCATGATGTACCCCTCCGATTGGCTTAGTCAGATCAGGTAGATGTGAAGGGCCGTAGGTACAGTAGGCAAGAAAAATTGCACTTTACGGAATGACTGTTTTTTTTTTTTTATTTTTAATCCTAGAAAAGTTCAATAGTGATTAAGAAATAAAGAAATCAATGTGAGTTTCGTAAAATTCGATGCACACTTGTCTGGTCAATCCCAGTATGACTCTCTAACTCCTTCAGAGACCAGCTCCTATCTTCCTCCATGCACTGGGCGATCACGGCACGAGAAACATCCGTACGAACGGACACAGGGCGTCCACTACGTTGCAAGTCGGGACTTGCTTCTCTTCCATGTTGGAATGCTTCTATCCACCTTGCAACAGTTCTGTATGGTAGAGCACGATCACCCAGAGCTTCCACAAGCTCAGAGTGACATTCAGTCACATTTCTGCTGCGAAGCACTGCTATTTTCACGTAACAACGCTGTTCCAGCCGGCTAACGTTCATTCATGACGAAGGTTATGAGCACACCGACTTCGCGCTGGACTCTCTTCGTTGTCCTCGTTCTTCCGCATCATCTAGCGGCATCATTAGAAATCAGACAATTTGGAAATTCCGGTCGGAGCTTTCAAAATTTCGGAAAAATTATGTTGCCATGACTTTTGAAGTAATCCATGTATAATCTCCTTATTCGTTAGACTGAGCGTAGTTACTTCTTTGGTCAATTTTCTAAACAAGGGCAATGAGATACTGATTCTATTGATGTGGAGTCCAGCTCGGTCCGGTCGGCCACTGATTGGCCTATTGTACCTGCCCCGGGTGATTATGATGATGGAGAATTTGGTGGAATGAAGATTGGCAGGGGAAACCGAAGTACTCGGAGAAAATCCGCCCAGCGCCACTTTGTCCACCACAAATCCCACTTCATCAGACCCGGGATCGAACCCGGACCGCCGCGGTGGGAAGCCAGCGACTAACCGCTTGAGCTATGGCGCGGCACTCTATTGATGTGATAAGTTTTTCCACATTCAAAATGGCAACTACAAGCGTATGTGCCTCTACATCTTATACCTGCTTGAAACAATCCTGGAATTAACTCAAAATCTGGAAATTTATATCCTTTCAATTTCTCGACTGCAATTTCAGTTTCTTTAAAGTTTGATTTTGTGACTAAGAATTCGGCAGTATAAACATTCTCAGGCTATCTGCAGAAAGAATAATTAAAGTATGTATTTGATGCCTCAGTTCCTCACGGTCTTGCATATAAAGAATGCGATATTCTGGGATGTGTTGCTGTGTAGTCCGGTAGTTAGGTACCAACGCTTCGCAAGAGCTTTCTGCCTCTATTTTCAAGGCAGAAGAAAGAGGCAGCAGATCTCTTCGAAACATTTGGTAACTATTAAATTTATGAAGACCGCAATCTTCATGAATAGTTGCAGTTACTAAAGTGACTCCTATTGGCTGGGCGACATGACTACAGCTCCCAGTGAAGGCACTGGCATTTCTCTTCGACATCGCATCCGAACAGGTCTTAAGACGACTTCAGCCTCGTACCCAATGCTTACAGGGGCCCTTTCCTAGAGAGGAAATCGGACGAAGAGTGGAAGTAGCAACTCAAATTCACCCAATCCTTAGAAACTATGAGCTTAGAGATGTCTTCCATGCCTTGGCGCTTTGGTCAAAGGGCAATCTTCGCCATATTGGCAAACTAAGTCTTCTTCTGATAAAGAATTACAGTTAATTTTCCAGTGCATTTTAATCGAGTTTTACCACGAGGTAAATCAAAAGGTCAGAATCAGGATGAGTTAAACTGAGGGTTTGTATAGGCTAATGACGTTGCATTACGTTAAAATGTAAATAATATAAAAATAAACACCAGGATTCTTTCAAGATCAGTGACAAACTGGCATCGGAATGAGCGTGAGAACATCTAGGCAGCTGCGACTGTCATGAAACCAGCCACGATAACAGAAATATTACTAACCCCCATTAAACACGTAGAATTTAACTACTCACTTGCAGTGGCAATGAAATGTAGAGTATTCTGGGATGTGATGAAGTGTACTCCGATACAAATTCACTGACGCTTCGGAATAATGTACTGCTTCCATCTTCAGTGTACAAGGTTTTAAGTAGTGTGCTCGGAAACGTCATTGAAACTATACTGGAGTGCATGGTGTCACATACCACTAGAAGATAGCACTGTTCTAAATAAATATTTAGAAAAAACGTGAAAATTTTCCGCATTATTAATGGTATGCGCAAAGGTCGCGCCATACCTCAAGCGATTAGTCGCTGGCTTCCCACCGCGGCGGCTCGGGTTCGATCCCGGGTCTGGTCAAGTGGAATTTGTGGTGGACAAAGTGGCGCTAGGGCGGGTTTTCTCCGAGGACTTCGGTTTCCCCTGCCAATCTTCATTGTCTTGCAGGGTGGACCCAGCTGAACTCCACCCCCCCCCACTAAGCGAATTTAATGGTATGCGTAGTGTAAATTTTTCAAATAATATAGATTAATTATTTAAGACAAGGTGGTAAGAATATGTACCGCTTATAACAATCAGTATCTCTGCATTTTCCTAAAAGATTGAAATTATTTATAAGTTTTTGTATGATTCTGAGAATAAACAGCAAGATTTCTCTATGCAGGAGTAACCGACTGAACTTTATAACGGAGAAGCAATGTGTTTCGTGTGAGGTACGAACTGGAATTTCATATCTCATTTAAATGAAGTTAAGGCCTCAGAGGGTTCAGAAACCTTGATATTCAGTGAGATCAGTCCTAAAATATTCTGACGATGGTGTGCTACACTCAGAATGAACACGTTTCTTCTAATTTTCTGGAAGAACACAATATTTCGGAAATTGGACGTGTTTCCGTCTTCAGGTGAAAGGGTGAGGGTGCAACTAGAGGCCGTTAGATATAACTGTTTTCAAATACTGGACAGCTCAACTCAGTAAAACTGTATCTGGGATCAGGTTTTGTCAATGGAAAATAATTGGAAAATTTGCAAAAATTGTAAATGTTCCTATTATCACCCTTTCACCTGAGGTCTGAAGCAGACCGAGTTTCCGAAACGTTGTATTCTTCTAGAAAATTAAAATATGTACGCAGTGCAGAAATCTAACTGGTCCCCATTCAACGAGACGTTTAAACTCAGTCGGCACAGAACCAATCAGATATGAGGCTGAGGGAGCCACCAGAGTCGGTCCAGATTTGGCCATACCGGACATGAAACGTGAGCGTCCAGATGGCACTATTCATCAAGTTACCTCAGCTCGTCTTAAGCAGGTTCC